GAACAACTTTGAAGGAGTGTTTAACTAAGAAAACAAACCATACCTCAAATCAAATTCCTTACAAATACATTTAGAGAAAAGGAATTGAAAACTATTTCATTTCTTACTACAAAGCTAAGATATTAATTAAATTTTTAAAAATGATGTTCAAAGAATTCATGGTTTTCAGCTATTGAAAGACATAAATTATATACAATAGTGAAGCTATAAGATAATGACAATGTGCTCACAGATTGGGAAGGTCCTTCTCGGCGTAACAGAACAGTAGCGGGGTGACAGAGCGGGCCAGTTCATGTTCCTCGTACTGTCCGGCAGCATCCTGCTGGGAGAAGTCCTGTCTGAACACCAGGGGGAGCCCCGACTTGTTGACCAACCAGTAAGGGGCCGTCACATGGATCTACAAAGAATATTTTTACATGGTAATTTTTTCTTTATGATGTTAAAATTAACTAGAACTGTCCAAACGGGACAATATACCCCCCGCTGGGTTTTTTCAGAAGTAAGTTTTTCCATAATAAAGTTATGTTTCAAACAGGAATTAAGAATTTTTTTCTTCCAGTGACCTTGAACTTCCCCAAATGACCTTGGGTCAAGGTAATGACATACCCTTAGGTCATGGGCAATCTCTGTGTGAAATGAGAACCTACCAAGTTTATCCATAAGAAAGATATGGACCGGACACGAATTATGAAATTTTTCTTCCTATGAACTTGAACTTCAACAAATGACCTTGAGTCAAGGTCATGACACACCCTTAGGTCATGGGCAATCTTTGTGTGAAAGGAGAACCTACCAAGTTTATCCATAAGAAAGATATGGAACGGACACGGATTATGAAATTTTTCTTTCAGGACCTTGGGTCAATGTCATGACACACCCTTAGGTCATGGGCATTCTTTGTGTGGAGTAGTAGATTCTAAATTCCCTCTGTAAGAAAGATATGGACCGGACACGATTGCACAGACAGACGGACAGCTGGACAGACGGACAGACAGACAGACTGACAAGGTGATTCCTATATACCCCCCAAACTTCGTTTGTGGGGGGTATAATGATATTTTGCAGTCACTGTACATTGTGACACATACATGTGCACCATCCCTGAATTACATTGCACAATGTAATATTGAATACATTGCAAGTTAATTGTTTTTAACACAAACAGGATAAGCTTTTACTAGGACTCTTATATTTATATGATAGGAAAATAATATATTTTTTTCTGTATTATTTTAAGAAAGTACAAAAATGAATGTATTAAAAATATACTTTTCTGTATTATTTTTTCATATGGGTATCTCTCAAGAGGAAAATAGAAAAGTACAAAGAAATCTAGAACAATTTACAAGTAATTAGAGAAATTGATGTTTTTAGTGTCATAAGAATTCACTAGAACCTACAGAGACGGACCCTCCCTTCCTGAAGATGATTTTGATGAGTAACTCCAGCAATCGTTTCTTGGTGTCGTACAGACGAATCTTAACCTTGTGGTACTGGGGGCCGGTGGTGACGGGGGGAACCACCAACTCTTTACAGGCAGGGAAGTTCTCCAGATTCAGTCCCAGCTCCATAGCCTGCTGGGGGTCTGCCTGTAACAGATAGTGTGAGTGAACCAACTTAAATTTAGGCTACCTGACAATGTTTTCATACAACTTTTATCTTCTTGGCCAAGTGAATAATGTTGACATTTTTAAAAGATGGCATTAAATTTTCATAAAGTTGTAATTATCTCCACTTGGAAAAAGGTGTACTGTGGCCTTTTCCTTGAACAAACTTACTACATGGATTGCATGACATCAAACAAGATCTTTTAATGAAGGTCTCCAGCCTGCTTGTACTTACAGCATTTAAGGCTATCTAAATTTAATTCTATGGTTCTCAGGCCAATTTTCTTCAAATCAGATGCGGGCTGGAGGCATTTTATTTATCATTTTATTGGCAATAAGAGGCCCAAGGGCCTTGAATCGCTCTTCTGATAAATTGTACAATCTATCAGTTCTATTAGAAGCCTCCAACTCTATTAGTATCATAAGACCCAAAATGCATCAACTTACAAAGTTTGATAATATTTAGCCAGTTAAGACTAAAGATATAATAATATAATGATAAAAAACCATAAGTTGGTCACAGTGTCCTACCTTTTACTTGAAATTTTCTGAGGACTCAAGATACATTAATTGACAAAGACTGATGATGTATCTAATTATGTACCTGAGATATTCAAAAGTAGGTCACCATGACCTACTTTTTGGTCAACATTCTCTGAAACCCAAGATGCACCATCAGAAAAAGTTTGACGATTCTTAGCCAATTAGAACCAGAGATAATTAAATATAGCCATCAAATGTCAAAAGTAGGTCATGGTGACCTACTTTTTGGTTGATGTTATTAAAAAACCCATAAATGCCTAAACTGACAAAATTTGATGATTCTAAGCCAATAACTACCTGAGATATTCAAAATTAGGTCACTGTGACCTACTTCTTGTTGAACTAACAATGAAACCCTAAGATGCCTCAACTGATCAAGTTTGATAATTCCGAGCCAATAAGTACCAGATATAATTAAATATAGTCATAAAATGTCAAAAGTAGGTCACAGTGACCTACTCCGAGCCAATAAGTACCAGATATAATTAAATATAGTCATAAAATGTCAAAAGTAGGTCACAGTGACCTACTTTTTGGTCGACATTCTCCGAAAACCCAAGGTGCCTCAACTGACAAAGTTTGATGATTCTTAGCCAATAAGTGCCTGAGATACTTAAATATATAAAATGTCAAAGTAGGTCACAGTGACCTACTTTTTGGTCGACAATCTCTGAAAACCCAAGATGCATCAACTGACAAAGTTTGATGATTTTAGGTCAATAAGTACCAGAGATACTTAATTATAGTCACAAAATGTCAAAAGTAGGTCACCTTGACCTACTTTTTGGTCATCACTCTCCGAAAATTCAAAATGCATCAACTCACAAAGTTTGATGATTCTTAGTCAACAAGTGCCTGAGATACTTAAATATAGCCATAAAATGTCAAAAGTAGGTCACTGTGACCTACTCTTTGGTCGACAATCTCTGAAAACCCAAGAAAGTTTGATGATTTTAGGTCAATAAGTACCAGAGATACTTAATTATAGTCACAAAATGTCAAAAGTAGGTTATTGTGACCTACTTTTTGGTCGTCACTCTCCGAAAATCCAAGATGCATCAACTCACAAAGTTTGATGATTCTAAGCCAATAAGTACTGGAGATACTTAAATAAAGCCATAAAATGTCAAAAGTAGGTCACCGTGACCTACTTCTTGGTCGTCACTTTCCAAACATAGGTAATCAAAGATTACGAAGCTCACCTCGACGAATGTTATCAGTTTAAGTAATGCAAATCCTACATCATATTTTCTTAATATTAAGTATTCATCCCAACAACAATATTCTTGCAAGTTATGCTTAACCCTCTACATGGTATATACACATTTCTATGCATGTAGTGTGAAAAACATGTATTGTGTAAACAAATATTCATAACTGTTAAAACTGCAGATATCAAAGACCTCAAGTTCATTCGGATTGATCTGTTCCCAAAACTTTAACCTGGGCTCTTGTATGGAAAATATAGGTCGGATCCAGCATCCCAAGCAAGTCTAATAGTGTCCATCCTAAGATGCATCATCCATGCAAGTTTGGTTTAGCTAGGGCTTATAGTTACTTGGGAATGAAAATGTAGGTCAGATCCAGCATCCGAAGCAAGCCTGGTAGTGTCCATCCTAAGATACATCATCCATGCAAGTTTGGTTTAGCTAGGGCTTACAGTTACTTAGGAATGAAAAATGTAGGTCAGATCCAGCACCCGAAGCAAGTCTGGTAGTGTCCATCCCTAGATACATCATCCATGCAAGTTTGCTTCAGGTAGGGCTCATAGTTACTTGGGAATGAAAATGTAGGTCAGATCCAGCATCCGAAGCAAGTCTGGTAGTGTCCATCCCTAGATGCATCATCCATGCAAGTTTGGTTCAGGTAGGGCTTATAGTTACTTGGAAATGAAAATGTAGGTCTGATCCAGCATCCGAAGCAAGTCTGGAAGTGTCCATCCCTAGATGCATCATCCATGCAAGTTTGGTTCAGGTAGGGCTTATAGTTACTTGGGAATGAAAATGTAGGTCAGATCCAGCATCCGAAGCAAGTCTGGTAGTGTCCATCCCTAGATGCATCATCCACGCAAGTTTGGTTCAGGTAGGGCTTATAGTTCCTTGAGAATAGACCTGCTCCAAAAACTTTAACCTGGTCACTCATCTGGAAAATGTAGGTCAGATCCAGCATCCGAAGCAAGTCTGGTAGTGTCCATCCCTAGATACATCATCCATGCAAGTTTGGTCCAAATAGAGCTCATAGTTCCTTGGGAATGAAAATGTAGGTCAGATCCAGCATCTGAAACTAGTCTGGTAGTGTACATCCATAGATACATCATCCATGCAAGTTTGCTTCAGGTAGGGCTTATAGTTACTTGGGAATGAAAATGTAGGTCAGATCCAGCATCCGAAGCAAGTCTGGTAGTGTCCATCCCTAGATGCATCATCCATGCAAGTTTGGTCCAAATAGGGCTTATAGTTCCTGTGGAATGGACCTACTCCAAAAACTTTAACCTGGTCACTCATCTAGATAATGTAGGTCAGATTCAGCATCCGAAGCAAGTCTGGTATTGTCCATCCCTAGATGCATCATCCATGCAAGTTTGGTTCAGGTAGGGCTTATAGTTCCTTGGGAATAGACCTGCTCCAAAAACTTTAACCTGGTCACTCATCTGGAAAATGTAGGTCAGATCCAGCATCCGAAGCAAGTCTGGTAGTGTACATTCCTAGATGCATCATCCATGCAAGTTTGGTCTGAGTAGGACTTATAATTCCTTGGGAATGGACCTGCTCCAAAAACTTTAACCTGCTCCAAAAACTTTAACCTGGTCACTCATCTAGAAAATGTAGGTCAGATCCAGCATCCGAAGCAAGTCTGGTAGTGTACATCCCTAGATGCAACATCCATGCAAGTTTGGATCAGATAGGGCTTATAGTTACTTGGGAATGGACTTGCTCCTAAAACTTTAACCTGGGACGCCGACGCTAACGCCGATGCCGACACCGACGCCGACGCCGGGGGTATAGCATAAGCTCATCTCGACTTCGTCGAGGTGAGCTAAAAACCAAATATGCATCGACTCACAAAGTTTGATGATTCTAAGTCAATAAATACATAAGATACTTAAATATAGCCATAATATGTCGAAAGTAGGTCATCATGACCTACATTTTGGTTGACATTTTTCAAAGACCCAAGATGCATCTACTGACCAAGTTTGATGATCTTAAGTCTGAAGGTACATGTAATCAAAATATGAGTTTTAAACAATTTGAAAACAAATGTCGGCAAAATTCAAAAGGAGGTCACAGTGACCTACTTTTTCATAAATATGTTTTTAAGTCCCAAGATGCATCAAAGTACAAGATTTGATGATTCTAAACCCCCCAGTGTCTGAAATAATGGGATTTAATGTTTTTGAAAAGATAAGTCATAAAGTTCAAAAAGTAGGTCATGGTGACCTACTTTTAAGTTGACATTGTTCGAGGACCCAAGATGCATCAACTGACAGAGTTTGATGATCATAGGCCTTAAAGTGTCCAAAATATGCCTTCAAATGAATTTGAAAACAAATCCACGCAAAATTTAAAAAGTAGGTCACTGTGACCTCCTTTTGAGTTAACATAATGTGAAGTCATAAGATGCATCAACTTACAAGATTTGATGATCCTAGTCCTTATAGTAACCAAAATATACACGTTTTTATTAATTGTAAATTTAGGTCAACTTTGAAGTGACCTTGAGACAACGCCCTTTGCCCCAGGGTAATTCCCCGTGCAAATTTTAATCTTCAACATATCCTGATCCTTGTATGTAAGTTTGGTGAAAATCTGCCTGGTGGTTATGGAGAAGAAGATTTTTTAGCAACCAGTTCTTTTGGTTTTGTTTTCCTGATTATCTCCCCTTGTTTAAGGGTCCCAACCCTTATTTTCAGTAAAAAAGGTAGCCCTTGGGCCAAGGATACCCTGTGACAAATTTGGTACTGATTGGCCAAGGGGTTCTTGAGTTATGGCCCATATTCTAAAAAGTTTACGCACACCGCACAAAGGGCCATAGCATTAGCTCTTTGAGCCTTTGGCTCAGAAGAGCTAATAAAATAGATGAGGGAGCAATTTTTTTTATTTTGACTTTCAAAATTTCTTTAAAATAAAGATGATTTTTTATTCACAGATATACTTTCCATTTCTGATCAAAAGGATTGCTTTATCCATTGCTTATCAGCGTGTGAACATCATAGGCAATGTCTTCGAATGTAATTTTAAACGAAGTAGCCCTTTGCAAATGGCTACCGGAAGTGATATTTGAATAGTAAACTACGAAAAAATTAGGATGGATCTTTTTTTTCCGGATTGGTCTCCGCGATACCAACTTTTTATTTTATCAAAATACAAGAAAATTAGCAATGCGGCTACCTCAAAACGGATGCACGCGGGCCTGAGAACCAGAATTTCAATTTTATTTAGCCTAAGTAAGCAATTTTTATATGAAGGCCTCAATCCTGCTTGTACTTACAGCATGTAGGTAGGCCTTCTCTCCTGTCTTCACTGTCCCACAGATCTGTGTGTCTTTGATGTAGTACCTCAGCTCTATGGGCAGCAGGTTACGAATGATCACAGGGGGACGTATGGATACAGTGTGTCCTGGTAGAATCAAACTCGAGTCCTCGGTCAGTAACTGCTCAGGGTAGTTCTCCCGCTTGACCGACACACAGAATCTAAAATATACAAAAGCATCCAATCAAATTCTAAATGCTTGCAGAGAAATAAATTTGAAATTGGATCAATATTCATTTAATGAAAAAATACATAAATCAATATATAAAATCAATACTTAATTTATTAATATCCATTGTAGATAAAACAAATAAATTGGACTTTTGCTGCTGCATACAACAGAGAAATAAAGGTTTATGGGGGAAGTGTTACCTATAAACTCCATTTCCTTCAGAAGAGTCACATTTCATTATTCTCTCCTTGACTTCCCCTGCCAAACCAACATGCTGCCATTGGATTGGTTGATTGCAATACTTTACCGGCCAATCAGATGGCCTGACATATAGCATGGAAGACACATATGGTAGTGGAAGTGGTAAGGTTCCATTGGCTGGGATTTCCATGATATTAAATTTACCTGTACATGTATAAAGAAAGATACACATTAAACAAAAATATAATTCAGATCTGTTTATATCATAGGCATTGGAATCAGGAGGGGGATAGCAAAGATTTAAAAAAAATTTTAATTTAAAAAGGATGTTGAATTTCTGAGCGTAGGTTTAGCCCCCTCCCCTTCCCTGCGCAAATACATGCAAGAACCAAATAAATTAAGATGGAGATATTTTGGAGAAGGGAAAACACACTGTTATTTACAATCATAGATACACAACATAGTTTGAATTTTATTGGGCTCTTCTCTGAAGTTGAAGAGTTCCACTAAATGAAGGATCTGTGTGCAATACTTTTGTCTCTATATGGATTTGTACACCTTTTCTAAAACAAATTTTGATTGAAAAAAAAAATCTGGAAATAAATTTATGTTTCATAATTTCTATATATTTTTCTTTAAATAATGCAAAAAATTTCAAAATTTGATATTTTCCCAAAATCACTATGGTAATGCATGCTGATTTTTGTTTCTATGGACCTCTGGTGGCGCTATAATCTTAAATTAAGAATATCTGTATAGGTAAGGTATCTTTCATATGTCCTTAATAAAAGCTTAACACACATAAAAAATAATTTCACTAAACCAAATTTGAAATTCAGAATTCGTTAAAATCATGAACAAAACTCAGTACAATCGGCAGCAAAAGATGTGTCCTTCTTTGACATTTTAGAAAAAAAATAATCCTGAGCAAAAATATATAATCAAGTTTCCAAATTCATTCATTTACTCTTTAACCTCGGCAATAATCGTTGAAGAATCTATTACATTTTCCCCTTCAAATACAAACTACATTTATCAATCTTATCCATTTAGTGGTGTATATATACATATCTGGGTTAACAGGACATTTAAATCTATATTTATCTCCAACCAGGAAGTAAATTACTAGAATTCTCGCTCTGACATTCCAAAGTTTGTTTGTTAACAGATATATACATTTAGAGGTCATTTGCATTAAAAGTAAGTATTGCATTGGGTTGTCTGCAGACAGGAAATTAAAATTTTCCTCAAAAAGGAATTTTTTTTTCATTAGGTACAACTTCTCTGATTTAAAACAGTAGGATAGTTTTGAATATTTATTCCATTATGGGGACAATCCTCTTAAGTCTATAATTAGAGCCAGACAACATTATAATTAAAGTTAAGCTTTAACAATTAAATTGAAGATGTAAAACCGTAGCAGTTTCAGAACCCATATATGCATTTAACAAACTTTTAAATGTTAATTTCAGATGGCACATTCCAAACCAAGAATTCCAGGCACTGCCCAACACTTTCTAGAGTGTGGTTTTGAAGATTGTGAGAGAAATTGTGAGTTTTACTGCAATTCCTGTCATCAACAGCTGTGTAAATCATGCAGAGCCCAACATCTAAAGATTCCAGAAAACAAGAACCATGAGGTGGTCCTTTACCAGCAACGTAGACAACAACTTCCTGTGATGAAATGCAAGATCCATCCCACTAAAGAAATAGATATTTACTGCAAAGACTGCAATATACCTTTATGTTCAAAGTGTTCAACAATGCAAGAGCACCAGAGACATTGTTTTATTGATTTAGAAACTATTTACACAGAGAAATTTACTCTTTGTCAAAAGGAACTCTCTAAAATCCATAATTACTTTGTTCCTATATCACAGGATTTACAGAGAGAAATTCGGGAAGATGCCACAGAAATTCAACAGATCATGGACAGCATACGGACGTCCATGAAGGCTGAAGCCGAGTCTCTCAAAAACATGGTGGACACAGTGCTCTCAGAAAATATGGAAGAATTAAACCAAATAGAGATGTCATTACTGGAGAAATTAAAGAGCCAAGAGAAGACATTTGATGATTATATTGCCTATCTCAGTGACCTTGTTAAAGAGTTCCAGAGTTACCTGTCCTCTACTGAGCTCATTAACTTCACAACTCAACTTCCAGACAACTTAAAAATAAAATCCATACCAGAAACCACCAAACCTGTCACACCAGAATTTTCTTCTGCTCAATACAACAAAAATGATGTTGCTAAATTTTTAGGGAAAGTAATTAAATCAGATAGAAAGGCAGAAGTAAGAAGAATAAAGCCAATGGAAATTCCACCTATTGCTACATCAACGAAATCTACAAGTGAACATACAAAACAGGATAAACATGTGAAATCTGACAAGAAACAAACAATGTCTCTATCTGCCTCTGTCACCAAGGTCAGGGAGTTCAATGTACCAGGTGTTGATTGTGTATACCATGTATCACTAGATCAATCAGACAGACTCTGGATCAGTGACATTTGGGGTAATCTTGTCCAAACAGATTTACAGGGGAATGTGATACATAAGATAAAAACCAGTGGTGAACGTGGTTACCACACAGTCACACAGGACAGGGATCTGGTATTTACAGAGAAAGACAAGAAAGTCATCAATAGGATAACACAGGATAATAATATCACTGAATTCATTATAACTGGAGACTGGGAACCACTCAGCATACACTTCTCCCACATCAACGGGGACTTACTGGTGGGGATGATGATATATGGAAAGGCTACAGGTAGAGTCACCAGGTACAACAAGACAGGAAAAGAACTACAGAACATACAGAGGGATAACAAAGGACAGGAACTGTATAGTTTACCATACTACATCACAGAAAACATCAATGGAGATATCTGTACATCAGACTATAATAAAGGAGTAGTGGTGGTGAATAAATCAGGACAACTCAGGTTCTCCTACAAAGGTCAGGAGTCAGAGTTCGATCCCTATGGAATCTGTACTGATGTCCTCGGTCACATCCTGGTGTGTGATCAGCACAGTAAAACTGTTCACCTCCTTGATCAGGACGGACAGTTCTTGTCTTTATTACTCACACAACAACAAGGGGTAGAGTATCCCCGTAGTGTGTGTGTGGATGATGAGAATAATCTCTATGTGGGACAAAGAGACACCAACACACTGACAGTGTACAAGTATCTACAGTGATTATAATTCTGTCAGTTGTGTATAACTATAGACTAAATAGAATATTTAATTTAAATTTGTGAATTCCAGGAAAGAAATAATTATACATCTGATTAATTGCACAGTACTATTACATGTTATTGATTTCAATGGTAAACATTTCATGAACACTTTTTTGGATTCCCAATTAAAAGATATCTGTCTATTTTACTATGTGGTGAATGGTGAAAATGATTATGAAACAAAACAATCTACAGTAAAACATGGTTATAGTGAAATGCTTGTAATTACATGTAATTCCTGCTAACAATACCTATGCTTTTAAAACATTTTGTAAACTTGAAGAATTTATAATGAATTAAAATTGCACATCCCTGGAACTTCACTTTCAGCTTATTTTACTGTATACTGATAGTACAAGTATTAAAAATTTCATTCCCATGATAAAGGTATACTCTCCTTGGTATATTATTCAATTTACTGTGGATAAAATATTTCCACAAAGGAAGTAATCAATGAAGAAAGCAGCACTAATGAAAGGAATCATTTGGAAACTAGTTTATATCAAACAATGGACTTGACTGCAAACACAATACTCCCTGTCAATGAAAACGCAACACTCTAATTTTAGGGTGAAAAGTATACTGTAAATTCCTAAATATACGCGTGGAATTAATTATCGCGTAATTTCGCGAGAAGCACCACACGCGAAATAAAATTACTCGCCTTTAATTTTATGGTGCTGAAATCTATGTAAAATTTCTTGATCAACCGTCCATTCGCAAATTATAATTCTCACGATTTGCCGTTAAAGAGCCCATTCGCGATAATAAGTACTCGCGAAAAATAAGGAATCTACAGTATACAGGTTATAACCATGTACCAAAAAAGTTATGACATGTTTTACTTTGCCAAATCAGTTATTTAAAGGTTGATAGAATTTCTTTCGTCTACCGGAAGTTGCTTTTTAGCCCTCTTAACAGAAATCAAATTTTTGCATTTTTAATAAAATTTTTAACAATATTTTGGGTTTTCAAGGTTTTGTTGCTGTTTATCATAAGTATTGTACTAAAATCCCGGGGAAAAAATCCTTCTTTCTTTACCGGATGTGATGCCTATATTTCCTCAAAATGACTGATTTTCATTACTAATGCTGGAGATTCTCAAAATAAAGAAAAAAAGAGCTGCCGATGCAAATGTACACTATTTAACGACTCATCAGGCTCATGTGTTTCAATAGCATAAATAACAGTTTCTTGACCGGAAGTCCAAGAGTTACTACACTACGCCAAGTTAGAGAAAATTCGACCACAGTATCTGAACAACAGGCAATTAAAAATGCCCAAGAATATTTATTTTGCAAAGATAAAGACATTGATAAACCTAATGCATGGTAGAAATCGGACTGCATACATGTATGTTGTACATGGCGGACTAGCAAGTTTAGATTAAATTGTCGGAGGGGGGGGGGTGTTTTATTTAAATGTTATCCGCTAAGAGGGCTATAAAATCAACTTTCAGTAATGGAATGAATAACATTTAACCATTAAATAACTGATTTGGCAAAGTAAAAGATACCCTAACTTGTTCGGTGCATAGTTATACCTCGTATATAATTTTTCACCCTAAAAGTAGAGTGTTGCGTTTTCATTGATGGTGAGTATATTTACATGTAATATGACTTTTTGACTGAGTTTTTACATACAGCTACCTTCCAAGCCTGAATGTGTGGCCATCTTAAGGTCAATGCTGGAGTCCAGTTCATTGCGAACAATCAGGGCTGATCTGACCGTTATCAATTTACGAGCTTTTCCTTCCTGTTTGACATCAAACACAATTCTTGCTGGCTTCTGGATGGATGGGTCATGTTTAGAACTGTATGTTAACTGAAAAATAAGAACAAATCAGCTTTTGGAAAAAAGTAAAGCTTAAAAAAATGATACTACCACTGCAATTTTGAAATTGTCCATTAATTTTTGTAAATGAATGTTACCTTGAACTTGCTAAAAATAAGGTGACCTTGATTTGAAAAAGACTCATCAAAAGTTTGTACTTACCCCAGCTAATCCTTTGGCCTGTGAGACATCAGGTTCAGCGTGTCTGAAGTACACCCCCACACGATCCACCGACACATTGGACAGCTTCAACCACCCATCCACCTTCACAACCAGCTGATTGATGCTCAACTCATGAGTTTTCTTAACAGATAAGTCATAATTCAAAATTTTAAAAATGCTTTATTTTAAGAGAAGGTTTGGTTATGAAGACTATATAGTTTAAGAAAGTGAAGATGCTAAAGCATTCACCTCATGGCGATTTTTCTCTTTGTTGTGGAAGAAGAAAGGCATTTTTTCTCCCGACTCCACTTTTCTCCACTCTGAAGCCTTTATATAGTGGTCATCTTTGGTACCTTTTCTTCTGCCTGACCTAAAAATTAACCATCATCATGAGAAAGTCAGCTGAGCAGGAAACAGCAATTCAGAAAACTTGTTTTATACATTACTACTCATTTTAAACAAATTCTGAATCTGAAAACCTTTCCTCGCATTAGGAACAAAACAAGCTTGATAAATCATAAATAGATCATTTTGTTTTCTTTGTGTTTTAAGATTTCAATTAATTCTAAGGCATCAGGAATATTTCAATTTTATTTGATCCTTTTTCTCCTCCCCAAATTACAACAGAAACAATACTTCTGATTGGTAAGTGCAGTGTACCTTGGTGTGGTGGTCACCGTGGTAAACCAGAGAGTACAGCCCGTTTCATTGGACAACATAAAGGGAACAAATGGAACTCTTCTCCTTTGACAGCTCACAGCAGTACGGCTCGCCTGGTGGGGATGGTTCTGGGAATTTGCTGGGCTGAAAAGAGCAATGTATCAGGCCATCAACAAAAATACAAAAAAAGAAAAGACGCCAAAAGTTATGGCTTAATTCATTATTATAAAGCCCTTCCTGACTGGTGTAGAGCTAGCAGTAGAGCATGTTAATTTACATTAATTTCTCAATTTTTTTTTATTTCTTTTAATATATAACCTAAAGGTTTCCAAAAGAAAAAGCATAATTATATAACAAACATTTGGCTAAAAAAGATGTATCAGACTGAGTACTGATGGTAAACTTACACAATTTGTTTACATTAGTCTTGTGTTTATGTCAGTAAATGTTAATGTGTACTGATGGTAAACTTACACAATTTGTTTATAGTAGTCCTCTGACCATGTCACTTTAGTCTGGTTGTACAGCTCCAGCAGTGTACTGGTAATGTTCAGATTCAATACTTCTTGTGCTAAAAAAAATAAATAAAAGCAAAGTAATCAGAACTGTATCATTTGAGGGTCAAACTTTTCTTAAAAATAGAATAATTTACAAATGAATGATTTTTGAAAAAGTCAAATCAGTCAATATAAATGCCACTACATTTCACTTCATTGATCTTGTGACATTTTGTTGTACATCAGAGACAGCTCACAGGGCAAGAACTATCAGACTACATGTGTATGTTCTTGTGCATTTATAATATACTGTCAAGTGGAAATTTTAGCGAAATAAAAATATAGCATATTGTCCTTTAAAATTGGTATTTTTCAATTAGAGTGAAGTAATTTTGGTGAATATAAAAGGCTCACTAAAGAGTCAATTGCGAATATTTACATTTGCAAATGTTTTCCTTTATATAACACTACTGAAAGCAAGCAATTATATAACTGTATAAATACAGGTATGGGGTCAAGAGGTCATAGATGTGAGTCTGGATAAACGTTCCACGTAATCTCTGTGTGACATCATAAAAGGTCGACGCGCATTTAGTGGATAGCATACATGCCATTGGGTTTGAAAAATAATGCATTTCGCACATTAAAAGGAACAATCAGGCAAATTTAAAGTATGAATAAGTCACAAATATAAATATAAGTTATAAGGTATCATCTTTTGAGTTTTATTTAGATGTAAAACGGGTTGGCACATGATCAAATCTTCCATAAAGCCCTTCTGACTAACATTGTACATTTCAACAGAAATGAAACTAAGAATTTTACCATTAATTTGAATGGCTGTTTTCTTCTCCATATTTTGATAGTATTGTTTCCATTCACATCGACATCTGTAATTAATAGAGAAAGAAATTAATAATTAAAGAAGTTGAATATAAACAGAGCAAAAATGCATAATTAAGAAATAAGATATCATTTTTAGAGTTGCATGAGGGTATGACATGATGTCGGTCACGTGATCAAATTCTATAACGCCTGAAGGGCGTTATAGTATATTTGATCACGTACTGACTTCATGTCACACCCCAATGCAACTCTAAAACATAGGTAATCAGAGATTACAGAGCTCACCTCAACGAATGTTGTCTTTAAGTAAGGCGAAGTTACACAATTCACCAAAAAAAAGTGTACATCACAAAATGAAAATATTTATGCAATTTTGATCTGATACTTTGGAATAGAGCTATATAAAAACTTCAAACTAGTTCTTTTTCATGAAAATGTAATTAAAATCCAGCATCTGAAGCAAATTTGAGAGTTTTCATCCCTTGATGCATCATTTGTGCAAGTTTGGTTTATACAATGTTATATAAGCCTTATAGTTTTTTTGTAATAGACCTGCAACCATAACTTTTACCTGGTCTATTATCTAAAAAATGTATGTCTAATTCAGCATCCGAAGCAAGTCCATTAGTGTGCATCCTAAGATGTATCGTCCAGGCAAGTTTGCTCTTTATAGGGCTCATAGTTACTTGTAAATAAAACCTGCACCAAAAACTTTAACCTGTTCACTCAACTGGAAAATGTGGGTCAGATTCAGCATCCGAAGTAAGTCTGGTAGTATGCATCCTTAGATGTACCATCCATGCAAGTTTGGTCATAATAGTGCTCAAAGTATCTTGGAAACGAAAACTGCACCTAAAACTTTAACCTGTTCACTCAACCGGAAAATGTATGTCAGATTCAGCATTCGAAGCAAGCCTGGTAGTATGCATCTTAAGATGTATCAAACCTGCAAGTTTGGTCATTATAGTGCTCATAGTATCTTGGAAATGAGACCTGCACCAAAAACTTTAACCTGTTCACTCAACTCGAAAATGTAGGTCAGATTCAGCATCCGAAGCAAACCTGGTAGTATGCGTCCTTGGACGAGTCATCCATGCAAGTTTGGTCTTTATAGTGCTCATGGTTACTTGGAAATGAGACCTGCACCAAAACTTTAACCTGTTCACTCAACTCAAAAATGTAGGTCAGATTCAGCATCCGAAGCAAACCTGGTAGTAAGCATCCTTAGATGTATCACCTATGCAAGTTTGGTCAACATAGGAGTTATAGTTACTTGTAAATGAGACCTGCACCAAAAACATTCACCTGTTCACTCAACTGGAAAATGTACGTCATATTCAGCATCCAAATCAAACCTAGTAGTGTACATCCTTAGACATATCATCCATGCAAGTTTGGTCAACATAGGGTTTATAGTTCCTTGGAAATGACACCAACACCAGAAACTGCACCAAAAATGTTAACCTGCTCCAAAAACCTTAACCTGGTCATTCCTTTGCTGAAATTGCAGCATTTGAAACTTTGACTGGTACAATGAAACATACTAGAAGCATCTTCCATGCATGTCTAGTCAATATAGGACATAGAAGTACTTTAAAAGAAAACTGCTCCAAACAAGAGGCCCACGGGCCTAATAGGTCACCTGAGCATCATGCAACAACTTTTTTCAAATGATTGAATTTGTTTCATGTTTTAAGCTAGATGCTAAGGCATTCACAATTTTGGAAGAGGCACTCTTGCTCAACATAACTATGTACTTAGTAAGTTTATTTAAAACATAGGAGCAGAGAAGATTTTCAAAGATTTAATGCATTTTCACTATATAATCAGTAGAGCCCTGCCCTAACACCAGAACCCCTGACCCTAGGGCTATAAAATTCACAATTTTGGTAGAGCCACTCTTGCTCATTATAACTATGTACTTAGTTTATTTAAAACCTAGGAGCAGAGAAAATTTTCAAAGATTTAATGCATTTTCACTATATAATCAATAGAGCCCCGCCCTAACACCAGAACCCCTGACCCTGGGGCCATGAATTTCAAAATTTTGGTAGAAGCACTCTTGCTCATCATAATCATTTACTGAATTAGTGTATTTAATACCTAGGAGCAGAGAAGAAGATTTTCAAAGATTTAATGCATTTTCATTACATAATCAATATAGAGCCCCGCCCTAACACCAGAACCCCTGACCTTGGGGCCATGAATTTCAAAATTTTGGAAGAGGCACTCTTGCTCATCATAATTATTTACTGAATTAGTGTTTTTTATACCTAGGAGCAGAGAAGAAGATTTTCAAAGATTTAATGCATTTTCATTATATAATCAATATAGAGCCCCGCCCTAACACCAGAACCCCTGACCTTAGGGCCATAAAATTGACAATTCATGATGACACTCTTGCTCATCATAACTATGTGCTTAATTTGTTTATTTAATACTCAGGAACAGAGAAGAAGATTTTCAAAGAAATAATGCATTTTCACTATATTATCAATAGAGCCCCGCCCTAACACCAGAACCCCTGACCCTGGGGCCATAAAATTCAAAAATTTGGTAGAGCCACTCTTGCTCATCATAACTATGAACTTAATTTGTTAATTTAATACCAAGGAGCAGAGAAGAAGATTTTTAAAGACTTACTGCATTTTCACTAATATATAATCAATAGAGCCCTGCCCTAACACAAGAACCCCTGACCCTGGGGCCATGAATTTCACAATTTTTGTAAAGGACTCAATGCTGATTACAATCATACCAACAGTTTGACTGCTTGATGTTGGGGAGTAAAGAAGAAGATTTTTAAAGATTGCACTATTTTTAGTGGTTTTTGCCCAACTCCCAAGGTTCCAGGGGGGGGGGGGGGGGGGGGGACCACGAAATAAAAAATTTCTGTTCCCCTTCACCCATAGATGCTATATGCCAAATTTGGTTGAAATTGGTTCAGTGGTTTCAGAGAAGCTGAAAATGTTTAAATGTTAACGCACGACGGACGACGACGGACAAAAAAGGATAGCAATAGGTCACCTGAGTTTACTCAGGTGACTTAAAAACTTAACCTGGGACGCCGACACCGACGGGGACGCCGAGGGTATTACATAAGCTCCCCCAACTTCGTTGAGGTGAGCTAAAAATGATATTTTATTTCTTATATTTATATTTTACGTTTTCATTCAATTTACAAACAAATAAAGGCATTATTTAGACTTATATTTTGGAATGCAATGTAACGTTACTGCAACATTATGTGACGTCGCAGTCGGAACTTTCCAAATTGCACGTGCAGTTTGCTTTCCGTACGCAAGAAAGTCTGATCATGTGACCGACTGCATGTCATCGAAAATTGAATTTAATTTTTTTAGCATTTTCATATAAGGAAAGGCATTGGCAAATGTAAATATTCAAAGTGTAAAAGGACTTAATGGTTATAAAATTATCAGAAACAACATGTGTTTGTAAAACACTGATGCCCCTGTATGGCAACATAGAAAAGATTAGGCATTTCTTATATTTTAATTTAATTAATTGGTACCAAACTTAGGGTATTCACACTAGAAAAACTTAGGGTAAAACTTTATGGTCAAGGTTTGCTTTTTTAAAGTAAGTCAATCTCAAAGGTCAAGGTCAAATTAAGGGTCAAAGTTCTTGGTATCCAATGAAGGATCTTTTCACAAGGATTACATATATGAAGTATGAAAGCCCTATCCCTTAATTACCGTTCAAAAGTTATGGCCAAGGTTAAAGTTTTTTCACAAGTACCGAAATCTACAAGGTCAAGGTCAAAGGGCCAAGGTTGTTGGTGTCAAGTGAAGATCTTTTAACAAACATTACAAATGTGAAGTATAATTGTCCTGGTGTCTACTGTTCAAAAGACATGGCCAAAGTAAAATTTTAAAATTTTCATGTAAAAGTGGGTCAAACTCCAAGGTCAATGTCAAAGTAGCTGCAATAATGTAGCCCTCTCCGATTTTTTTTAATCTGATGTTTTCTGGAGAGGGCTACAATTCCATCGCATCTCCGTAATGGTGCAAATATTTTTTTTTAATAGGAGCAACTGCAGGCAAATTAAATTATTTTTACATTCAACTTACTTCTAATAAGACAAATTTTTTATTCACTGTCAACAGTAGACCCCGTTAAATGCGAAAAACTTGTAAAATAACTCTGTATGTTTCCTGGTAGTTTACTTCAGCAGCCATGACAGTTCACGCGTGACGTAATGAGAATTTCGCTTGAAATTTAGAACAACTGAATAAAGCAATTATCAATGTTTATAAATGTATGTGCTGAATTTCATCACAAAAACATAGGTATATAAAACCATTTTAAGTGTTATTTTTATGCAAGCAGCGATATTTATGTTTAAAATAAGGGAATTCCAAAAAGATCCGCTCCTATAGAACCTAAATTCCCAAAATACAATCTATCAAGGTCAGTAAACATGGCGGATAAATTCGAGTTGTGATGTTGACATACGCGAAAAATAAGCGATATAGGGATCGTTCTGTATATTTTTGCATTGGTTTACGTCTTGGATGACTACTTATTTGGAGTCAAAGTAAGAAATGTTAATAAAATAGCCATTTACTGTTAATTTCAGCCGAAATCCGTGCGGGAGCAAATCACTCCCGCAGCTGCGCCATTGGAAAGATCCTAAGGAGTTGTAGCCCTCTCCCCCCCCCCCCCAAAAAAAAAAAGGGAGAGTGCTACATTATTGCAGCTAATGTCAAAGGGTCAAAGTTATTGTTATCAAATGAAAGATCTTGTCATAGGGATCAAATATGTAAAGTATGAAAACACTAACCCTAAATCTGTAAAATTTTAGGTCAAGGATTTCTTTATTTAAGTAGGTCAAGGTCAAAGGTCAAGGTCAAAGGGTCAAAGTTCTTGGTATCCAATGAAGGGTCTTCTCACAAGGATTACATATATGAAGTATGAAAGCCCTATGCCTTATCGTTCAAAAGTTATGGCCAAGGTTAAAGTTTTTTCTCAAGTACGGAAATCTACAAGGTCAAGGTCAAAGGGTCAAGGTTATTGGTATCCTGTGAAAGGTCTTTTAACAAACATTACATATGTGAAGTATAAATGTCCTGGTGTCTACTGTTCAAAAGATATGGCCAAAGTAATATTTTAAAATTTTCAAGTAAAAGTGAGTCAAACTCCAAGGTCAAGGTCAAATGGTCAAAATTTGTGGTGCCCAAAGAAAGGTCTTGTCACAAGGAATACACATATGAAATATGAAAGTCAAGCTCTACTAAATCAAAAGTTATGGGCAAGGTTAAAGTTTTTGCGGACAAACAGACAAACAGAGAGACAGACAGACAGACACGACAAAAACTATATACCCACGAAACTTTGTTATGGGGGCATAAAAACAGTTTGAGGACAAACATTTTACAATCATGATTTCTTTTCAAGTCTATGCTTTGCAGACAAAGCCAACCCAATCATTTGGGAAATGTTTTGATCTTAAAATTACACTAGCTGACATTAATTTAACCCTTATCATGCTTTATAATATTTGTATAATGTTAAACCAGGGTGCTGCATAAAACAATAAAATCATTTTTTAAATATTAGTGTCTTTAAATTACAGTAGAATTTTTATTTCTTAAGATACATCCATAATCCTTATATAATTTTTATAGTTTGAATCAGTACAAATGTCACTCCATTATCAGATTCATTCTTAAAACTCACCTGTGTAAGTTACAGGTAAGAAAAGGTAATGCATGTGCATTCTACACAAAACTACACTAAAATTTCATTCTTTTAAAACAAATACGATTTCTTTCAATCAAAAACAGTTTTGATGCGATGATATTTCATCACCTTTTCCTATACATATATCTACTGTGATACAGGTACGCTCAGGTAAGACAGGTACGTCAGGTAAACCTCGTGAACCAAGAAACTAGAGAAAATATTCAGTTATTTATGTTTATTTATTTCAATGGTGTGAATAATTGTAAAAGGAAAATACTAAACAAGTACAAAGAACTCAAATTCGCACGTTTTATTTCGGAGACGTGTCCACAACGTCCCAGTTCTCGTGTACATATCGTCGTCTGCATAACACCAACTTTATCCAACTAATATATCTATATCTCCGGTATAAATTCGTTGAAATTAATAAAACGAACATACTCAAAGCACTCAAAAGCAATATCTTTTCCAAATTACCAAGATAATTTAAAATAAATGCAGTTATTCAGCGTTGTTTAGGAATAAATCGTCATTGTCGATACATTCCGCCATTTTTGTAACTGAAGTAAACAAGGAATACAACCTGCGTCTTTTTGATGAGCTTTTGTACTTTCAACCAATGAAATCAGGGCTTATAAACAGTGTTTCGGTGTGTAAAACGGATATTACGAAATACCAACACAAAAATAGTTTATACAATGGTTTTTTATTCTTAAAATAGGAATGGGAATTTCCGATATTCAAAAACAACTTATGCCGCGACCAGCACTGAAACGTAAAGTTGCCGATCGCGGCAAATGTCGCGATTAGCACGATAAGGGTTAAGTATCCATATTAGCTCCAGCTAATTAATTACACCCTTACTTCCACTGTTCCAAAAATGGCTCCCATCCCGACAGTTTCCTGTTGTAGTAGTCACCCATCAAAATAAAAGATCCACTCCCCTCTTGTCTTGGGAGAAACTGCTGGGAGAACTGAATGCTGTTGAAGGAAATTTCTGCCAGTGGCACATCGGAGTCCCCACAATCGTCTATCAGGCAAACACACACAGAGGATGACTTTATCTGAAAGAGGATGAAAAATAACAAGATTATAACTTACAATGATCATGGATTAACTGGGAAACTCCACTATGGGGATGCTTGTAAATAAGCTTGATATTTCTAAAAATTGCCCTTGTTGAGAATTGTACAAAATTTAAATCTTTACTCCATATGAAAGCTTAGATCTGCATATGTCTTGTCAATTCTACATAACAAGATTTTCAAATAACACAATCAAATTTTTGCCACATTAAGAATTTGGGAAGTCATTTTGCTATAGACTCTAGATAAAATATCAGAAAATGTGAGCAGTTTAACTGTCAACACACAAGAAATGAAAACAGCGATATCTAGTCCATTTCTTCACAGTATTTAGCTTTAATCATATGTACTTGGCTTTTTACAAGAAACAAACCAGAGAAGTAACCTTAGCATTTCTGTGAAAAGATCCATGATCCACCCTGGCCAACACTAACCTCCATCCCCGTGATATGAAGTCCCCCCTCTTGTGACTGGCCCCTCTCCTCTGGTACAGCGTTCTCAGTCAGCCAGACTGCCGCCTCCATCAAATTCATCTTCTTCAGATCTAGAGCTTTCTTACAATCCTCCATACTGAAGCCCATATCATAGAGACTGCTTATCTTGTCAGCTGATAATGTACCAACAAAATATTTCTGTTAATTATGAGAACAATGATGACATTCCATTTATTCAATTATAATTTAAACCAAGCTTCCTCTGAAAGGTGAATTCCAAATTTTTTTTTAATGGTTGAACTATATCAAACATTTTCTAGTGAAAATTGACTGCAATGATGTTGTCATTTTCTTTAAATGTCTTCACTTCATTTTAGACTTACTAAATGTTACACTGCATCTCTTATTATGAGATTGCTTCAAGTAAACATTGTGAAGAAAGGAAGAGTTGTCTTCCTTAAAATCACCAGAAAAGATATTTGCCCAATCAATGTCAAAATGTTAAAGCTTGTGAAGTAGATAAATTACAAAATACCCTACCAGGGTAGGCTTTATCTGTTGGCTTGTCATGCTGTGTTGCTTTCAGTGCCTGCTCTGGGATGGAGTTCAATATCGCCAGGAACATTTTCATGTCAATGTAGGACAGTCGAATGTTCATAACATTAAATGTAATCTGAAAAGGAAGTGATTTAATCCATGTTATCATCCTTAATCATCTGTTTAACTTTTTGAATCAAATGGTAAATTAGTGCAACTTGGCTCCAAATTTGTCACTATTAACTGTTTTTAAATCATCTTACTCTACATTTTTGATACACTTTACAGAGAAATCTGTTGAATACCTCGAGGACAAGGTTATTTTGGTGGACCTGAGAGGCCTCCAGTAATCCAGCGGATGATGACAGTTTATGTTTGGGAAGTGGATTAGCATTGAGATCGATGTGGATAGTTAGTGGATCTATGATGGACTGAGCCGTCTCCTCTTCTGCTGTCAAAGAGCAGGAAAATACCTCCAAAGACTGAAGAGTGCACGTCAGAATTTTGTCCTTGGCTTTGGGGCGGAAATTCAGTATTGCTGTGCTCTATAATACATGTAATTTGAAAATAAACAAAATTTTAAAAATTGTCAAATGAATTTACAAAGTACATTATTGGTTCATGCCTTGAACTAGAAAAAAGTATGTTTAAACTTTGAACAAACAATGTACTTGTATAAATATTTTTCACAATGGTTATAATATGTCTCATCAATCTTGACTGCAGATACAAACATTTATTAATAACAGAATGAACAATCATTTTTTTAAATCTATATACAGCCTACTCCGGATATATTGAAATTCAGGGGACCATGCAAATTATTTCAATATATCCGTAATTCAATATAAGCGAAATCGTGAAGCCGCCATTTTTACAAGTTCAATTCCAATCTAAAATAAAGAAGAACAAACCCGAACAAATTAACTTTGTTCTCGTTTATAGACAGATAACATAGAATGAATATGAGTCCTTGAGAATTTAAATATTTTTTTTATTTCTAATATATTCAAAAGACAATCTTCAACCTCATTACACGATCTCATTTATTTGCGTTTTGGCGAAAATTCACGGGACTAAAAAGGTTGAGTACTGCTGAACGCTGCTTGTATTTCATCGTAAGTGTACTCGGGTTAATTCCTGAGTTATTTCGAATTTAGGCATACCAATAGTCATTAACAGCAGACATTTGATTTCATAGTTATTTTTTTTCTAGATCTGTGAGGGTTGTTATTATAATATTACGTTTAGCTGTTTAGCCTCGATATGTCCGTATTATATACATGGACGCAAAGAATTTAACAGTGAAGAATTTAATTTCGTAAGAACATGCAGTATAAAAACACATAAGGTGAAAACTTAATTATTCACACCTTTGTATATCACCTGGTCAATCAGGCATAATTATTGCCACCAACCGTAATGACAGCCGCCAGGGAGTACTTCAATATAACCTTATGAAAACAACTCATTATCACCTGTGGGGACCGATCAGTGGCTTCAATATAAGCGAAATTTCAATATATCTGATTTCAATATAACCGTTATTTTAATGCAAAGAATATGAGAGGCAAAAACGGGGGATTTATTTTTATTTCAAAATAAGCGGAATTTCAAAATAAGCGAGTTCAATATAAGTGGAGTAAGCTGTAGGATATTCTAGTTACTTTAAGAATGACAGCATTAGTGTCCCAGGTAGAGCTGTCTTCCACGACAATGAACTGTGTGTCTGACACATTCAGCTTCAACTCAAAGGGCACCTCCACCTACAAAGAAATAAAAGAAATGCCAAACTTCCACACAATTGAAGTGAAATGAAAGACATAATTTTTTAAGCAATATTCAAATTAAAGTATACATTTTACATTCATTCTTCTACAAGCAATCTTTTACTTCCAAAAATCTAATTTTTTCCTACATCAACATTCTACATGTATATAATATGGTATTTTACATACCTTCACAGAAAATGACCTCCTTACCTCCTCTACAATAGGCCCTCTCTTTGTCATTATACCACTAGACACGGTCAGAGGACTCGTAGTTTTAGTGGAATCTCTAGACGTCTGTCTGCTGACCTCAGGTGAACTCATCACTACATCTTCAGCAACGGACTCTTTCTCTGCAAAATAAGATACTTCACCTAACAAATCATGTTACTGTCAATCAATCTTGCATGATATCATTTTAAAATTTTGCTCCTGAGTAAGACTTTGGGAAGGTGGTTGGGTTGAGGGTGTTTTTAATTCCTTGAAAATTTTGGCTTGCTGCTATGACAACACACTGAAAATGACATGATGAGTCAGTTTCCACAATCTCACTTTCGCCGCAGAAGACATACCCATAATGAAGGGATCCTCAGGACTCTCCATGATGAAATCGCGGACGGACAGAATCCAATCAAAGATACACATGACCTTCATGTTATTAAGGATGACTGAGAACTTGTTGGACTCCTGTGTGGCCCGGTAGTGGAGCTCTAACTGGAACGTCTTGGATTTCTTACTGCTGGGTCCGGGCTGCAGGATCTTCTCAAAGACATTAGGACGGACATTTACAGGGGCATCTGAGAAGAAAATGAATTACTTCAAATGTCAGAGAAGCAAACAAAACACAAAATATCAGAAAATCCATAAAATTCTATTAAATACACATGTACATGAAATGATATTGCTGAAATAAATCTTAATGGAGCACATCTTCACCTTTACTGCACTGGTCTG